AGCAGAGCGGCATCTTGAACTCCCGAGAAACCTCAATGAGCTTGGTTATCGTGTGGATATGGACACTACTTCCACTACCCAGCCGTCGCCACACTCCAGGACACTTTCCGGACCCGCGCGGCAGCTCCGGCCGAGACCCACGCACGACTGAAGACCCACAGAACAAGATAAGCGGAACTCTCTGAGACTTTGGACTCCAGGCTCGGCGGACCCAGGGACAGAGCGGCCGCGCGACACATCATAAGACACTAAATACCCATCTTCTGGAATTGTTGTACCATATTTGATAGGGTTCAAATATGGTAACACCTACAAGGGAGATTAGAGGTCACCCCAAAAGCCTCTATCCCTCTCGGAAAGACTGGCAAGCTACCGAGAGTATTCCGCCCGCATGGAAGAGCCTGGCAAGCTATCCGCTGTGTATTCGATATGCCAAAACCAGTAACTACAACTGGTCTCATTCACCTGACCCTGAAGGTTTCACCGACATGGCAGCACTGAGAAGGATGAGAAAGGAGAGGCCGACAAAATCTCAAGGCCGACCTAGGCTGCCACAACGAAGGAAGACAAAAATGATCGTCTGTACTTTCAATGCACGTACGCTAGCATCAGATGCTTTTAATTTATAGTTAAGTATTATGGTGCTTTGGCCTGGCCCATTTTGATGCCAGAGTAGCTCACTGAGTCTATCCAGTCCCTCATCAGGACCCTGCTTTTGGGTTGCTAGAAAGTAAGGGCAACTAAGACTTAAGTTGAGAAAGCAGATGCCCAAAAGTGAATATTACTCAGAGTCAGTTAACTTCCCAAGTTACAAAAGCATAGTATTAACTGCCTTCCTGTGTCTATACAAGAAGGACATTGCTCTGAATTAACTCTGCAAAGGATTTAAGGAGAAGAGAAAAGCAATATTTACAAGTTAACAGAGCCTGATTAGGTGATACAGGTGACTGACGGGTTGGGAAGCAGAGCACAAAGAAAGAGGTTACAGATAAACAAAGAGTAATGGGAGTGCCTTGGGAGCACTGTGATGGGAGTAACCAAATAAACCTAAGCTCTCTGTGGCAAGACAGAAAGGACAAACCATTATTATCCTACACAACCCTGTTAGCGGGACTTACCTTGGAAACTGCTGCTCCCAGCTGGTACAGGTGAAGCAACATATTGGGTTCAACGGTTGCTGAAATTATTTTTGACTCTACAAGTGCAGGCATAAAACTGAACTTCTGTAAAATATTGGTGCACAGCATTCTCCCACCTTGTTTTTAAGTCCAGTACCAATTTTCAATCCCTTTTCTCTTTCAGTCTGTGCTTCTCACTCCCTCCCCCTACTCAGTGGAAACATTTCTTAAGCCTGAAGTTGTCTTCGGTTCTTTGTTCTACAGTACACAGTAATACCTAGTAGATTTCTCCATGGAGGATGCTGTGTTTAATTCTTTTTTTTTTAACCCCACATTCTTTGTGTTGATGCAACAGGAGTGTTTCGGTATTAAGCACTCCCCTTCCATCCCCCAACCCCCAGCCATTCTGGCCTTGCCCTTCCTTAATCACTTATCACTTAACTTCCCGTTAGTTGTCGATTTGCTCGAGTGGGCGCCAGTAACGTCTCCATTTGTCCCTGTCACGTGCTAGTGTAGCCCAATGGCATCTGTTCGCTCTAGGAACATGAAGAGCCTCAAACCGATCGTTCATGATCTTGATGAAGAAGTCTGACCATCTGGTAGGTGGGCGGCCACGCGGTCTTTTGACATCCCCTGGAATCCAGTCGGTAACAGCTCTAGTCCAGCAGTCGTCTTTAAATCTCATTACGTGACCAGCCCATCTGATTTTTGACACCTTGGCAAATGAGACAGCGTCCCTGATTCTTGATCGATGGATGTCGGAACTCCGGATTCTTTCTCTCATTTGAGTGAAACATGATATTCCAAGCATAGCTCTTTCTATTCTTCTTTGGGAGACCTGAATAGCGTTCTCATCCTGTTTGCGTAGGGCCCAGGTCTCTGAGGCATATGTTAATGCAAGAAGAATAGTGGAATCAAAGATATGTGCCCGGAGCCAGAGGTTCTTCATCCTCTTAGCTATTTCTTCGACGTTCTTGAAGGTGTTCCAAGCCGCTCTCTTCCTCCTGTGCAGCTCGGGTGCCAGGTCATTTGTCATGTTGACTTCTCGACCTAGGTATACATAGCTGTTGCATTCGGAGATGGTCGTTCCGTTGAGAGCGAATGGGGTGTCAGGAACGAGGCTGTTTCTCATAAACATTGTATTCGTAAGATTCAGCTGTAGTCCTACCTTTCCACACTCACGGTCAAAGTCGGCCAGCATTTGTGCCACTTGGCTGATGTTTGGTGTTATTAAAACAATGTCATCAGCAAAGCGGAGGTGGTGTAGTTGCCGACCATCTATCTTCACTCCCATTCCTTCCCATTCCAGTCGTCGCATGATGTTCTCGAGGGTGGCACTGAAGAGTTTCAGTGCCCTTCCTTAAAATCTATAATTTTTCCTAGCAGAAGCAAGGGCATGTAGAGCTAAGCTATGAAATGTATTAAAGCTGATAAGAAAAATGAGGCACTATATTATAAGGCTTTTTTGCCCAAAGAAGAGGAAGAAAGACACCATATACTTTCTTGGTTCCACAGAATTATTTTCCCCAAATCAGATTCAATGAGCTCCCACTCCTTCCTTCCCTCCTGAAATATGCAACTAACAGACAGGGCTCAATGCACATCATTAGATGGAGAAAGAGGTCACTAACACTTTCTACTTCATGAGTCATTTTGACAGAAGAATATCAAAGGAGTATGATAGACATTTATGGTCTCCTGCCCACAATCCACTTCCCATCCTCTTCTCTCATTTACCTGACTTCCTCAACAGAGCCTCAAAATACCATTGATTTTTATGGCTTTTCTTAAGAGTGGGAATAACTGAGTCATGTTGTCTACTTGAAGTTTCTTGGGTAAGATATCTAATACCCTGAAACAAAAGAAAACACAAAAGACAAAGTCTTTTCAATTCTTTGTCCCCAAACTCCTTGCCTTGAACACAACTTTGTAATAATGTGTAAATTGTAACTGCTACACCTGTTTTACCACAATGAGGAGAAGGCCAAGAGTCATCAGTTTGGTTGCTGCTTACTTCAACTTCTTGTTAGGTGAGAAAAGTAAACACTTCTAGGGAAACCAAGTAGAAAGATATTTTGTTCCTTGAAGTCAATAGCAATCTTTTGTCATACTGTCACTGTCACTGTCCTCCTGTTGTTCATCGATTTGCTGGAGCCAGCCCGTTTGGATTTTTTACTGCTCTTCTGTATGTTGGATTTTTTCCTGCTCTCCTGTTTCTGTATGAAGTGTCTTTTCATGCAGAAGAGCAGGAAAAAATCCAAACAGTAAAAAACCATGAATAAATTACTTAGTTTTTACTTTGGACACAGCATTCCTAAAGACCCACAATTATGGAATCATATTAAATAGGAATCTTCATTTCTCTCTCACCTCTTCTCATCTTACTTCTCATAATACATATAATTTTGTGTAGTCATTGTGTTTTTAATATTGATCTTTTGAATTTATAATTTGGTTGGGAGAGGGTTATGATACCAAGGATTTAGCCTATGGCCTCACACATTCAAGTCATTCCCTCTCCCACTGACTATATGTTGTAGCGGCTTTCTATCTCACTCCCCTTCACTCTCAGAAGGTTGTAAAGATTTGGATTGATTTGATTTCTTCTAAGTCAGTCAATTAAAAGTGACTCTCATGTCGAAATTTATTGAATAGCTTTGTTGACTGAGGCATTCTTCAGTGTCTTCTTATTCCAACACCCTCATTCTATGAAATCTATCTACCCAGATTTATGTGATTTGTCCAAGTTTCTATTCAGTCTAGAATCAAGGATTCCTGTTGGAATCAAAGAAGTTCTTTTAATGGCAAGTATAATAATAAAGTTATGACTTCTACCAGTGTTATGATTTTGAGAAGAAATTTTTCTCAGGGAGTATTTCAATATTTGGGGTTTTTTTAAAAATTTGTTTGGGGACCATAACTGGCAGTGCTCAAGGCATACTCCTACCACTGCACTCAGGGATCAATCCTGGTGGAACTCCTGGAACCAGGGTTCAAACCCAGCTTGCCACGTTCAAGACAAGCACCCTCCATGCTGTACTATCTCTCCAGCTTCTATTTTGGTATTTCTTTTCTATAAAATTGTCTTTACTTAAGGAACTGTTATTATGACATTACTGATAGTTGAGTTTTAGGCATATGATATTCCAATACTAATTCCACTACCAGTGTCAGCTCCACCAGGGTTCCCATATTCCATCCTACCCCCAACCCCTACCCTATCCCCCACCATCAACTTGACAGTGACATTAAAAAGTTCCAGTAGTTGTAGTTTAAATCTTATGTTTTCAGTGTTGTTGGGTCTGGTGATATGGGTGAGTGATATAGCCATTTATCTAGTTTAATATTTCTTTCTTTCTTTCTTTCTTTTTTTTTTTTTTTGCTTTTTGGGTCACACCCAGAGATGCATGGGGGTTTACTCCTGGTTCGTGCACTCAGGAATTACTCCTGGCCTTGCTCAGGGGACCATATGGGATGCTGGGAATCAAACCTGGGCCAGGCCGCGTACAAGGCAAATGCCCTACCCGCTGTGCTACACTCCAGCCCCGAGTTTAATATTTCTTAACTTCAGTCAATATGCCAACACCATTCATAAAGTTTTATTAGGGATTTCCAGACCCTTTTAGGGAAATGACCAACACTACTTTTACATTTTGAGGAGTATGTACTCAAAGTTTTTTTTTAAAATAAGTTAGAATGTACTTATTTTGATTATTTTGTTGTAATTAAGGTAACATTTGTACTATTGCTAACATTTATGTTTTGACATTTTTGTAGAAAGGATTGATCTTAAAAACAAAACACACACCAAAAATAGAATGTAGTCAATGTTTTCTATCAACTTTAGTAATTTAGATTATTCTTATTTCTTTTTTTAAACAGGTATTAAGGATGTCATAATTTGGGGTAATATTAGTGGAAATCACTACATTGATCTGAGACTAACCAAGGTTTACAGACATGAAGGTGCTATTTGGGGACCTCCTGAATATTCACATCCTGTTTTAAACTTGATTTTTGATAGGTACAGTATATTTTTAAGTGAAGCATAATAACAATGTTGCATATATGCATAATAGTTTTCATCTTTTAAATCTTTGAACTCTTAGGCACTTGTGTGATGTTGGAGAAGTTACTCAGAGTCTCTAGGCCTGCATTTTTTTCATATGCAAAGTCAAACTAGGAATATACTTATGGGGTCTTATAGGATGGTTGAGAAGAATAAAAGATAATGAAGGCCAAGTAGAACTGTGTCCACCAACAGCATTGCCATGATGATAAGGCAGAGAAGGAGAAAGGGAGAGGAGTATCCCTCAAACATTTCTGTAATGATTTGTCGCACTTCCTAGTTGTAGCATTTCCTTTCCTTAGCTCCTTCCATCCTTTGCTTTCCTCAGACTGTTGGAAATTTACACCTACCTAAAAGGATGTGTCCCAGTGTTCTCACTCTTAAGCATGGCTCCTGTTTCTTGCCTGAGCACATGCCACATATCACCAAACTGTGGTTCTTAGCTGGATGAGGTAGCTATTTAGTCACAGGGCTATTCCATGCATTTAAATTTTAGACTCTAAGAGCCTAGTAATTTCTCTATTAATGTGAATAATTTGATACTTTATGATATAATTTGATCAAAACTGAGAAATATTGCTATTTCTGAGATAGATAGCATGTACTTCAATATATTTCTTCTCTTAAAGTGATTGCTTTATAGCTTCGGATCATGTTTTTGTGTTCATATTTATATTATGCTTTTAGTTTAGAACATGATTTTATATAGTTTTGCTGTACTTCATTACTTTTCCATTGATTTTTATGGAATTGAAGAAGCTTGAACAAAGGGCACAGGAAATCATAATTCTAACTTGTGAAGGTGTTTTATTATACTAAAATTCATTGACTTGGGAACATCCTTTATAATTATTTGTTCTTTCCTCTACAGTGAAATAGTTTCTTTCTCTTCTTATAGTGACTGGGTAAATAGAGAGTTTGTGTCAACTCTTGAAAACTTGATAAGCACTGGAAAACAATCTGGAGGCATCTTAACTGCTCACAGCATAGCCACAACATTGAAGTACTGGTACAATGGCTCACCCCCTGGGGAGATTGTATCTTTAGGCGTGCTGAGTGAAGGTAAATCTGGATTTTCATATCTTATAATATTTAAAGACCCCCATATATGTTTTGTGTTCTGTTTCTGTTTCTCCTAATGTTTTATATATAAACTGCTGGATTTGTCAAAATTCCATAATCCTTTGTGTATCCTTTCATGTCTTCATTCAGTTATCCATTCAGAAACTCAACATTTCAAGTATTAGAGTTTATAAGAAACATAAATAAAATAGCCCAGTAAGTTTTTTTTTTTCACTTTAAAATAGGTTAATTTTAGGTGGACAAGAAGGATTAGACTCAACTTCTTAAAGATTAAACTTCAGAAAGAAAGCCTTAGAGTTTCAGAAGTGCTTATCTGACATACAGGTGTGAGTATAACATCTAGTTCAAAAAGTTCCAGGGCCAAGTTCATTGAGACAGGGTACTGAGGATTCATCAGTGTGTATTCACAAAATAAATAAAGTGAGCTGTGGTGGTGATGTGCTCTCTCTTGCCCTCCATGTGCATTCAGTGGCCTTGAGCTGCTTCCCCCACCCTGGCCTGCAGCCGCTGCCAACAGACAGATGAAAGAGGTAACAGGGCCGGTTGGTGATCAGTTGCCATTTATTCCTTTCTCCCCACGCTCCTGTTCCAATCTCACTAAGCTCCCCATTCCAGTCTCACACTGCCCCTCATTCCAGTCTCCTCCTGACCCCCATGCTAGTCTCTCCAGGCTCCTTGTTGCAGCCTTGGTCACTCACCCAACCTCCAAATGTTGGGGAGCAACTACACCCAGGTGAGGTAGCACAGTCAACAATGAAAGTCTTTCCTTCAGAGGGAAACTCTTCTAAGAGAAGACAAAGATCTCCTTCAGCCAGGAGAGCCACTCAAGGGCGAAATACCATCTAGAGGTGTGTTTTTCCTTTCCTTAGTCCAACAACCATCTTAGACTTACTTCTAAATAATCTTTCTAGTCATTTTTGTATGGACACAGTAAGAGTTTATTTACTTACTCATAGTAAGAGTTTACTTACTAAGATTTACTTACCTCTAAATAATCTTTCTAGTCATTTTGTGGGGACAGAATTAAGCTTGTAGGGTGGCTCTCCTGGGAACATCTCTCTATGGATCTCAGACTACAGTGCTCAGACCAGATGTGCCCCTCCTAACCCTAGGAGGGTTCTAATCCAGTTGTTACTCTTCGGATCATCATAATTTGTCCATTACTGTGCTCTTAACTTAACTTATAGTTAAGTTAAACAGGCATGGCCTCACCTGTTTCGAGGGTAGCACACAGCTTGCCCTGGGTCCATCAAGTCCCTCATCAGGATCCTGCTTTGGGGGTGCTAGAAACTAAAGGAATCTGAGGTTTAAGTCCAGAAAACAGATGCCCAGTACTGAATATTATTCAGAGCTTGTTAACTCCAAAAAAGCATAGTATTAACTGTCTTCCTGTGTCTATACAAAAAGGACATTGCTCTGAAGTAAACTATGCAAAGGACATAAGGAGAAGAGAAAAGCAATATTTCACTTACGAATACAAATCCAGTGTCCTACAAGGATCTGATCTTACAAGTCAGCAGAGTCTGATTTGGGGATAACAGTGATTGTCCAGTGGTTTAGCAGAGTTTACAGATAAACACAGAGTAATGGGAGTGCCTGGGAAGTACTGTGATAGGTGTAACCCATAAACCTAAGCTCCCCAAGGCCAGGGAGAAACAACAAACCAATATTATCCTACACATCAGGACATCAATCTAGGGAAGCAGTAACTAGCTAGAATGTACAAAGCTGCTACATTTGTTGGTGCTCTCCATCCACAAATACTGTATAGACAATGTTTTAAATATTTTTTATTGAGGCACCATGATTTACAATTTATTCATGTTTTAATTCAATGTATACAATGTTCAAACAACAATCAATTCACCAGTGTCCATTTCCCTCCACTAATGTCCTCACTTTTCCTCCAACCCCCAAGCCTCCCTCTAAGGCAAGAACCTTATGCAATTTTTTTTCTTTACTGCTCTGTCACTTATAATACCAATAGGATTTCATGCATAACATTTTAGCACCTCCTTCTGAGTGTCCTCTTCACTTCACCAGTGTTTCTCCCCATTCCTCTACCTGGTCCTTTCCCCAACCTTCACCCCCCCACCACACACACACACACACACACACACACACACACACACATATGCATTGGACAAGCTCCCTACTGAAACTAAGAATAAAGATTTGATAGCTTTAACATTTTTATTTGTCCCTCTGCCAGTACCTTCATGTGTGCAGAGAGTGGTCTCAGCATGGTGGTGGCTGGTCCTGGAGGTCTTCGGCTGCCAGAGCCCTGGTCGGGGCGGGGAGGAAAGCTCAAGCCGCTTCCCTCCAAGGGGCCCCAGCAAGAGGACAGTCAGGCGTGGGGGCAAGAGACTGCACTGTACTCTTCCGGGAGCTGGTTTTTATAGTCTCTGAGTCTTGGCCGCTGATCGGATTACACGGGGCCAGGGGGCCAGTTGGTGGGTGTTACCCCGGCCTACTGGAATTTGGAGGATCTGGGTGGAGGATGCTCGGCCCCAATCCGAGTAGGCTTGGAGATCTCGGCCCCGGAACCCGCGTGACTTTGTCCCTCTGCCAGTACCTTCATGTGTGTGGAGAGTGGTCTCAGCATGGTGGTGGCTGGTCCTGGAGGTCTTCGGCTGCCGGAGCCCTGGTCAGGGCGGGGAGGAAAGCTCAACCCTCAACAAAGTCACGCAAATGCGGCTGCGTGACATCTTATTATGACATCTTATCTCATTACTACTTTGGACAAACTGGCAGGCTACCGAATGTAGCCTGCCCACACGGCAGAGTCTGGCAAACTCCCCGTGTCGTATCCAGTATGCCTAATACAGTAACAATGATGGGTCTCATTCTCCTAAAGAGCCTTGAATATAATCTCAGGGCTAGGACGAAGGTGACGTTACTGGGGTCTGCTCGAGGCAATGGACAAATAACAGGATGATTTGTGATTTGTGAACATTTTTATTTGTGAAAATATATTCAGAGGACTTTTTATTTGTGAAAAACTATTCAGAGGACTTTTGCCAAATTTGTCCAAATGAAATTGTATGAACACTCCTGTAGTATGAATTCAAGTCACGCTTTTCAGGAACGTGATCATTTGTAGAATGTTCTAAAGGAATTCATTGATATATAATGCAGCTATGGGGCTGGAGGTTTAGTGACATTATCCTGCAGACTGTGCCATATAAGTAAATCTTCCATATTGTCTGCCCATGAGAATGACATTTGATAATTAAACCAAAGAGACCAAAAATAGAAAGCCTGGAATACCTTCAAAAGACATTGATTATCCTAACGTTTTTTTCCCAATTGACAACATTTTTGTCAACTAGGATAATTTTCTAATTTGATTACGGCACAAAAAAAGGTAAAGGTAAAGGCCCTCCCGTTGATCATCGATTTGCTCGAGCGGGTCCAGTAATATCTCCATTGGAGACTTTGTTGTTACTGTGTTTGGCATATCGAATACATCACAGGGAGCTTGCCAGGCTCTGCCGTGTGGGCGAGATACTCTTGGTAGCTTGCCGGGCTCTCCGAGAGGGGCACAAAAAAATCTTGATAAATTATTTGATCTTTTATCTGAATATTGCTCAACATTAGTTAAAGTCTTATTATACTTTAATTTAGAGCCCTCCAAATTGGACCTGGAAGTTCAAAGAAAACCATCTACTTCCCTACCCCTCTCTTTGTCTTCTGGATCCTCATCCACTACTTATGTGATAAGGTAGTAGGGTGGAAGATTCTGAGCAAATGCCTTAGATAAATGACAAGTACAAAAACACATGGGCTTTGGGGCTGGAGAGATAGCACAGAGAGTAGGGCATTTGCCTTGCATGTGGCCGACCCGGGTTTGATTCCCAGCATCCAATATGGTCCCCTGAGCACCACCAGGAGTAACTCCTGAGTGCAGAGCCAGGAGTGATCCCTGTGCATCGCCAGGTATGACCCAAAAAGCAAACACACACACACACACACAAAACACATAGGCTTTTTAAATAAATGAATAAATAAATGAAATCCACAGAAAGTGAGGAGAAAAATAAAACTTCATTGGCCCCTAAGGCTGAGACATGGAACTTGACCCCACCAGGTACAAGGGAGTGTGAAAGAAGGAAGGCGTATCTCTCTTCAGAGTAAAACACAGAAGGGAGAATTGTCAGAACTTGTCCAAGTAATCTTTTCAGAGCAAGGGTCAGTACTTTTAGAGCAAGTGTAGCAGGGAGAAGTCCCAGAAATTTTGTCCCTCGTTTCCATTAAAACTCATGTGCTGTGACTGTCCTTTCCAAATGCGTAAGTATTTAATAGGAAGAGTTTGTTTTTCTGCTTTTTTGTAATACTTTGGTTTGTGTTTGCTCATTGCAGGTCAGTTTGGAATTCCTGAAGGAATTGTCTTTTCTATGCCTGTGAAATTTGTGGATGGAACATGGGTAGTTCTTACAGATCGTGAAGATATTGAAATAAGTGAACAAATAATGGACAGGATAACAAGTGATCTAATTCAGGTAATATCAGAATAGATGCAGGGGAACTGATTTTATAATGGCCTTATACTGACTTTTCTGGGTCCAAGGCATATCTTGGTCTGCTATGTTTAATTTGCAACTTATTTTTTTAAAAAAGAAAAAGACAAGAAGACATACAATTTGAAGAATTAAATAGCATGCTAGTGCTCATTTGGTTATGTGCTTTATGACATGTTAAAATATGGTCATTTTTTAAATTATAGGGTTTTTCTATTGAAGATTGATACATTACTAATTATGGCGATTTAATTATTTTATTATAACATTTTTTTCAACAGGAGAAACTTACTGCACTTGGAGAAGTAACAAGTTTTCAAGCCTATAAACCAGGTAATCTTTTTGATGAGATGATTCAATGGACTGTTCTTAAAATAATATTAAAATATTTGTTATCACTAAATTATAAACTATAATCCAGGAGATCTGTGGCACATAACTTGCATTTTCAGGGACCTAGGATACATTCTCAGCACCATTTGATCCCCTTAGCACTACTTTTGGATCTGGTGGCTGCAGAGAGTGCGCTGCATCACTGGGACTCAGCACTGATCTAACTAGTCTTATTGGCCAAACTAGATATCTCCAGGAATAGTCCCCAGGGTCCCCTGAGCTTTGCCTTCTATGTGGCCCACACAGTATCACCAGCATCCCATATTGTGCCTTGAGCTCTATTGGGAGTGATCCCTGAAGTGCAGAGCAGGGAGTAAGCTCTGAGTACCACTGGTTTGGGGGCAAAAACAACAACAACAACAACAAAAGAAACGCTTTGAATGTAACATAAGAATGCTAAAAACTGGGCACACAGTGTTACTAGCAGGTTGACCTGTACCTGTGGGACGAGTACATTAGCAGCCTGATGGTACCTTCAGACTTCTTAATACCCCCAAATTGCTGCTGTTGCCTCTGGCTGGACCCCAACAACTTGGGACCAAATTCCCTGAGAAATTAAATGGCCAAAAATAGGGCATGTGTGAGTCACACCCACAAACCACCTCTGGCCCAGCTATACAAGCTTTTTTTGACCTTGCTTCAGAGACCCATAAATAAATCTCGAAAGAGATCAAAAGCCACAGTTAATCTCAGACCGGTGCAAGGGTGAGCAGATAAAAAAAAAAGTTAGAGGGGTATGGGTTAGGTTAGTGGCCGCCTGAGCAGAGCCCCTGGCAGCTACTTGCTTCCACAATCCAAAATTGCTGCCATGCCTCCAGCTGGATTCCACCGTCTTAGGATAGACCTCACCGAGAGATGAACCTGTTGAAAATTTGGGTATGTGGGTTTTGTGACAGAAACCTCCAGGCTTTCTCAGAGTTGGGATGAGCTACCTCCCCCAACTTTCCTATACTCCTGGAAGCACCAGCAGTCACATCCACACCCCAAAGCTGCCACCCAGTTAAAAAGCTACACCACCCTTATCATGCTGATAAAAATAACTGAATGCTGTGAACAAACACAGTGACCTCTTATGTATTGCAAACCATAATCCATAAAAATAGAGGGAGGCTGGGGGTTGAGGATGGGGTCTTGGGAGATTGTGAGTGGGAAATGGGGGACATTAGTGGTGGGAAATGTACTCTGGTGGAAGAATGAGTGTTGGATCACTGTATGACTGAAACCATTTGTAATCATCTATATCATGGATATTCAATTAAAAAAAAAGTAATGTGGAGTTCATGCCTGCTTCAGTCAGCTTAATCAGTGGCTGAATAAATAGTCATACTCCTACATTAAAAAAGAAGAATACTAAAAACTGGGCTGGGGATGTGGTTTTATTTTATTTATATTTTTTATTGAATCACCGTGAGATAGTTACAAAACTTCCATGCTTCAGCTTCAGCTATAAAATTATTGAATATCCATTCCTTCACCAGTGCACATTTTCCACCACCAATGTCCCCAGTATACCCCCTCCCAACCCCAGCTATCCCCCTGCCTCTATGGCAGGCAGTTTCCCCCATACTCTCTACTTATGGACATTATATAGTTTGCTTGAATCTTCCCACCACCATTCAAGCTTGCCTGCCAGGGGCAGACACTAGATAATTTATTTTCTATTACTCACTTGGAATATCATGAGATATTCTAAAACTGTAAATGGTTGAGGTCCAGAGACATCTCTGTAGGGTCCTAAATCATTTGGGGATTAAGTTGGGAATCACTGCTACTTCTCTGGACCAGGACCATTGGTGCACTGAGATGTCATCTGGAGGCAGATTGTGGGCGTGACAACCAGGACCCCAAGCAAGTGGGGAGATGGGGAAGATGGCTCGACTCCTCTGCTGCCACCATGAGACCTGGAGTCTTAGTCCTGGAACCCGCACACCTGGGTCTTGCTTCTGGGAGCTCTTGGTCTACAGGGTTTCATCTAGAGCGGGCATAGAGGGCACACCTGCTCTATCTGAGGTGCCCCAGTGAAGTTGGCTGAGTAGGGGGTCCAGAGAGTTCTCTTGCGCACTCAGCTGTCTTCCAGGACTCACTGCTGCTCTTCTTGGGGATATGGTTTTAAAGAGATAGAGCATATGCTTTTCATATATTAGGGCCTGAGTTTCATTCCCAGCACTGCATAGTCTTCCAAGTACCACTGAGTGTAGACTTGGATTAAACAAGATCTGAATCTATTTTCAACTCAGCCAACGCCAATTTGGACCCAAAGTCATGTACAACCTTTATGTCCACATCTTCTTGTCTCCTGGTGTTTTTTAGGTTTGGTACCTGTTTGCTCATTCCTTTTCTCTTTCAATCTCTGTTTGACCCCTTCCACACCCACAGGAAGTACTCTTTAGCTGTTAACTTGTCCACAGATCTGTATTCATCTGAATTGAATCTCCTGGATGCACCCATTGTGGTCTCCAGTAAATTTTCTCATTAAAGCTCCATGCAGATGATATGTTCAGTTCTGGGGTTTTTTTTTTGCATTTTTTTGTATTAGTGTCATAGGAATTCTCAAAGAGCTATTTATTTTTGGTTATCCTGGCTCTAACCTCCTAAAATAATTTTTCAAATGTTTTCTCACTAAGAATAAATCTCTCCCTTATTTAACTATAAGAAACCTGAGTGCCCTGGGATTCTCTAGAGTCAGTTCATCAAGTCTTACTAATTACACCTCCAAAATAACTCTCAGAATGTCCATAATGTAATCATCCCTTTGCTGTGTCCCTCTGCTTTGCTCCTAATGCCAATTTTTCTGCAAAATCTATCTTCATAGTCACTCACACCAGAATCCCACTGAAACTCACATATACTTCTTTTCATGGTTCTGCCAGCCTCTTTCTAAACAATTGAACACAAAAGCATTTTTCCTTCAGTTGTCAAACAAGTAAAAGTACAACATCATTGGTCTGACCGAAATGAGAAGACATCAATCACATCACGCTGTTTTCAACACCGGAGAAGAACTGTTCCTTGGAACTTGTGATAAAAGAGGCGTAGGTGGTGTCAGTATCCTTGTCAACACAAACTTAGCCACGAGCATTGTTTCATTCGAATGCCTAACAGCCCGAATCAGACAATTACACTTGAATAGATGTGGCTCACTACCGGCAGTTTCTATCTTTGTTCTCTATGTACCAACATCCAGTTATGGTGAAAGAGAAACTGAGAAGTTCTACAAGGAGCTGGAGAAGTTCTATAAAGAAGATCACACCTTCTACAAGATCATTGTCAGTGATTTTAATGCCAAGATAGGACCAAGAAGGTCAGCCGATGAACTCCACATCGGGACCCATGGCCTAGAATGGAACGAACAGGGTGACAGACTGTCTGAGTTCATCATGTCAACCAAGACCTTCCATGGTAACTCACAGTTCCAAAAGGCTGAATCTAAACGTTGGACATGGGAGTCTCCCAATGGACAGTTCGACAATGAAATAGACCACATCATATTCAATCGGCAGTTTTGCCTAACCGATGTTGCTGTTGTCCCAAAATTCCAAACGGGATCAGACCACCGTCTCCTTCGTGCAAAATTCTACCTCACAGAACATGGAGAAAAGAATGCAAGGTTTAAGAAGAGGACTCCCAGAACGACCACCAACTGGGAGCTCTTTGACTCTGTTGCGGCAACATGGGAAGATGCCGTCACTGACAACATTGATGAGGAATACGATCGAATGATTCAGCACCTCCATGATTGTGCGAGGAATGCCAAGAGAGAGATAACCACAAAAAACCGCCTTTCTTCGAACACTCTTGAACTTATTCGCCAACGTGGCTTGGCACATGCCTCAGGCAACCACAAGCGAACATCCGAACTAGCAAAACAGTGCAGAGAAGCCATTAAGAATGACCTCAAAAACAGGAGAGCAGCAGTACTGGTAGATGCGGCAGAAGCTGGGAAAAGCATTCGTAATACCCGCCTGTCCTTCAACAACTACAAGACCAAGATGACTGCCCTCCGACATCATGATGGATCTATCACATCTTCCAGAAGGGCAATGGAGAAGATTATTCATGACTTCTACTCAGATCTCTTTAATAGCCATGTCCACTTGCCCACATACCACATTCCACATGATGGATATGTCGTTCCCAATGTTCTCCCTTCCGAAATCCAACATGCCATCTCATCAGTAAAGAAACAAAGAGCACCTGGCCCAGACAAGATCAGACCTGAACACCTGAAGAACTTACCATCAGTACTCATCAATACACTGGCTCGGCTCTTCACACGCTACCTGTCTGAATGCAAGGTTCCATCCCAGTGGAAAACCAGCAGGACTGTACTACTATACAAGAAGGGAGACATCCACGACATTGGCAACTATCGCCCAATCTGCCTATTGTCTGTCATCTACAAACTGTTCACTCGAGTCATCCTGAATAGGATTAGCAGAACACTAACAAGATGAAGGACAACCATGTGAACAAGCCGGATTCCGAAAAGGATTCAGTACCATCAACCATATCCACATGATTACTAAGCTCATTGAGGTTTCTCGGGAGTTCAAGATGCCGCTCTGTCTAACGTTCATTGATTTAAAGAAGGCCTTTGATTCTGTTGAGACGGAAGTGGTCATGGAAGCCCTAGCCAATCAGGGCGTACAAACTCAATACATCAGGATCCTTCGTGAGCTCTATTGCGGATTCACTACCAGGATCTCACCATTCTACAAAGAAGTAATCATCCATATCAAGAGAGGGGTTCAGCAGGGTGATACCATTTCACCAAAACTCTTCAGTGCCACCCTCGAGAACATCATGCGACGACTGGAATGGGAAAGCATGGGAGTGAAGATAGATGGTCGGCAACTACACCACCTCCGCTTTGCTGATGCCATCGTTCTAATAACACCAAATATCAGCCAAGCGGCACAAATGCTGAACAACTTTGACCGTGAATGTGGAAAGGTCGGACTACAGCTGAATCTTACGAAGACAATGTTTATGAGAAACAGCCTTGTTCCTGACGCTCCATTCGCTGTCAATGAAACCCATCTCCGAATGCAACAGTTATATATACCTAGGTCGAGAAATCAACATGATGAATGACCTGGCACCTGAGTTGTGCAGGAGGAAGAGAGCGGCTTGGAATGCCTTCAAGAGCGTTGAAGAAATAACTAAAAGGACAAAGAACCTCCAGCTACGAGCACATCTCTTTGATTCCACTGTTCTTCCTGCATTAACTTATGCCTCAGAGACCTGGACCCTACAAAAACAGGATGAGAACGCTATTCGGGTCTCTCAAAGAGGAATTGAAAGAGCTATGCTTGGAATATCACGATTCATTCAAATGAGAGATAGAATCCGGAGTTCTGATCTTCATCAACACTCAAGAATCAGGGACACTGTCTCATTTGCCAAGGCATCAAAAATCAGATGGGCTGGACATGTAATGAGGTTTACAGACAACCGCTGGACTAGAGCCATTACTGATTGGATTCCACTGGATATCAAAAGATCACGTGGACGCCCACCTACAAGATGGTCAGACTTCTTCGTCAAGACCCTGAATGATCGGTTTGAGGCTCTGCATGTTCCTAGAACGAACAGATACCATTGGGCTACGCTAGCACACAACCGGGATGAATGGAGACGTTACTGGCACCCGCTCAAGTAAATCGATGAATAACGGGGATTAAGTGATTAAGTGATTGTCAAACAAGTTGGCATATACTATCCTGGTTAAAGCTCTTCTTTTACATCTATGTGTAAAATACAGGATCGCATCATGTATTTCTCATTTCTAAGACTCACCACAAGAACATTCATTTGTATACTTTGATTCTTTTATCAGCTGAAGGCTCCAAAGGAGCAGGAAAAGAGGCCAAGAGATAGCTTAACAGACTTGAGTCCTGGGTTTGATCGCAAGCACTGCATGGTCTCCTACAAACCACTCCAGAACTACGTCCCACAACACCACCAGGTGTGGCCCCCAAACCAAAATCCAAGCAAAAAAAAAGGCCAAAACAGGTCTATATTATTCATTATTATTTTACCAGCTCCTAGCACTAACTTATAATTGGTATCCCTTATGATTGAATGAAGAAATGTTAGGCTCTAAAAGGGCACTCAATTAGAACTCTCTTGGATAACTAGTTACTTCTGTATTTCTATTTACAATTTCAGGATGAATTTTCCTGAAGACTGGGAAAGATATTGTAGTGGGTAGTGTACTTGCCCCGCATGTGGCCGACCTGAGTTCGATCCCAGGCAACCCATACAGTCCCCTGAGCACTGCCAGGAGTGATTACGGAATCTAGAGCATCACTAGGTGTGACACAAAAACAAAAAAGAAGAAAGAAAGAAAGAAAGAAAGAAAGAAAGAAAGAAAGAAAGAAGGAAGGAAAGAAAGAAAAGAAAGTTAAGGTGAAAGATTATAGCAACTCCTTGAGAGTTTATGATCAGAGAAAATGCCAATAATAAAAGTAATCTTACTAAGACATTGTTTTGTTCAAAAAGTAATATAAAAGTAAATGTAGTGTGGTTGAACTATCACGATCATGATCATCCTGTTGTTTGTTAATTGCATCGGCCAAGCACCAGTAACGTCTCCTTCGTCCTAGCCCTGAGATTTTAAAAGGTGCCATATTCAAGGCTCTTTCAGGGTTAGGAGAATGAGGCCCATCATTGTTACTGGTATTTGGCATCTTGGGTAGGCCACGGGGAGTTTGCCAGACTCTGCCGTGTGGACAGGTTATATTTGGTAGCTTGCCAGGTTGTCCAAAGTAAGAATAAGATAATAAGATGTCACGTGGCTGTGAATGCGGCTGTGTGCTTCTGGGAGTTAGGTTTTATAGTCTCTGGAACTTGGCCGTTGGTGGGATTACACAGCGCCAGGGGGCCAGTTGGTGGGTGTGACCCCTGCCTACTGAAGATGGAGGATCTGGGTGGAGGATGGTCAGCCCCAATCTGAGCAGGCCTTGAGATCTCAGCCTCGGGACCCGCATGTCTTTGTTCCTCTGCCAGTACCTTTAAGCATGTGGAGAGTGGTCTCAGTATGGTTGTGGCTAGTTCTGGAGGTCTTCAGCTGCTGGAGCTCTGCTCGGGGTGGGGAGGGAAACTCAGCCCACCCACCCCACCCCCCTGCAAGGGGCCCTGGCAAGGACATCCAGGCGCTGAGGCAACTATATTACCAAAGAATGCATGGTGAACCTAGTCCCTTGTTCTCTGAATGTGACATTATTTCCATCTAACCAAGTTAAGATGGGGTCAGTTGAATGAGGTGGGTGCCTATATGTTATCAATGACTGTCATAACCAGAGGTTGAACCTTCAGAGACAATGACTCTGCTGGTGTAGCCTCTGGAAGTAAGAGATAAGTGCTGTGGACATAAATAGAAATATCACTGTATCACTGTTATCCCATTGTTCATCAATTTATTTGAACGGGCGCCACTAACATCTCTATTCATCCCAGCCCTGAGATTTTTAGCAGCCTCTCTTTACTTGTCTTCCCCAATGATTGGAGGCTCTTTTAGGGTCAGGGGAATGAGACCTGTTATCGTTACTGTTTTTGGCATATGAATACACCACAGGGAGCTTGTCAGGCTCTGCCTGTGCAGGTGGGATAACTCTTGGTAGCTTGCCGTGCTCTCTGATATATATATATATATATATTTATTTATATTTATATATATATTATATACATTTCTCTCTATGATTTGTTTCCTACTGTCTGAACCCCATCAAACATGGTGTGATAATTATGGAAAATGGGTAGGAAGTGTCTTTTGATGTGTCCAGAAAGTGGCCTGGAGCATGGCAGTGATTGGGTAGTGGAGATTGGCTGCCAGGGCTGGGTTCCTTAGGGCGGGGAGGGCTCACCCACCCCACTCTGGGGCACTCCGAGTGAAAACAGCCTGGCGCAGAGTCCGGTGACATGATTATAGGAGCTTCATTTTATGCTCCCTTCCGGGAGAAGTAGCCAATGAGTTCTGGAGGGTGTTGATGAGGAGATTATCTGGTGCCGGCAGGGCGTGGCTTATGGGTGTGACCCCTGGGTCGCTGGAGACTGGGGGAAGCAAGCAGAGGATCTCTGCACCCGGGTCCCATTGAGCCAGAGTCTAAGGTCACAAAGTTCCACGTTACCTGGTTCTGTGGGGCTTAATTCATGCGTGAGGCTCAACCCAAGCATCCAGAAAGTGGCCTGAAGCCTGACAGCAGTTGGATAGTGTAGATCAGCTGCCGGGGCTGGGTCTCTTGGGGCAGGGAGGGGTCTCCAAATAGAAAAATAGAAATATACACCAAAAAATGAAAAAAATGTTCCTTAGTTATATGTCTAACTAATGTATAACAAAAAATCTGAGTACATGAAGTATGAAGTAAGGAAAGCTTATTCAACAACCTGGAAAGCCAAATGAAATATTAGATAGAAAACTGTTTATCTTCTGGTGCTCAGAAATATCTAGATAAAGTTGTCAAACTGAGAGTTGTTGACTCGTGAATAGAAATGGTGCCATGGGTGTGAGGTGAATTTTGTAGAAAAAGAGAAGAGAAGGTCTTCAAGAAATTACACTTACAGAGTAAATAGAACATGGACAACTGTCAGAGCTCGTGAGAAAGAAAAAATCAGAAAGAAGACATGTGAAGATGTTAAATTTTAAGAGAGAAAAACGACACAACTTGACCTCCTTGGGACATAAGAGAAAGCTCAAAGGAGCCAAGAGTATTCTGATGTTTTGGACAGTTGAGGATATTATTGTGTCATTACCTCAGACAGAACTTCTCAAATACTCAGCATACACTGATGGGAGTCTATCAACTTTATCCCAGAGGCCAAATCTGAGGTAGCTAGAATCTCAGGTAGCCTCTATTATTTTTGTCATCTTTTGTGTAAGTGAGTCCCATACATCCCAATATGCAAATTTCTATGTGGTTACTAATGTGTCAGGGTTGGTCACTGAAGAGTTTGTACCTTAACCTTGTACGTACCTCAACCTTGCATTAACTCTTCGGGCCCTGAACAACTTTTTAATGTTTCTACCCCAATTTTTAAAATTAAAATTGTGTTAAAAGTGAATAATATATAGTAAACAAAATTTCACTTTGTTTGATGCACTTAAAATTATGTCTAACTTGGGGAATGGTGAAGCAAAAAAAATCCTTTTGAAGAGGTTAGAGACATGTTACAAAGAGAATCATACAGAGAATGGTCCAGAATATACTGAGACCTCAGGGTATCTCCTGATATTGACTCAGAAATTTAGAAGGGACTTTCAGTAAGAATGGAGCAGAAATCTAGAAGGAAGATGAGGGATTACTCCTGTTAAATCAAAATCATGCACAGACTAAAGGGCTTCAGAGGTAACAAAGTAGAGAAAATGGGGTTTATTTCTAGTTGTATAGATGACTATTTGTAAAATGAGCATTTTAGTAAAATATACTGCTTTTTGCTTTTCTAATGGAGGGTTACATGGGCTGTAAAAGAATTTATCACGTTATGCAATTAATTTAATAATTGGAATTTATATTTTGACTGGATCAAGTTAATAATAAAAGGTAAATATGAAAATCAATTTTTTCAGTGAACTAAAATAAGAGCAAAAAGGTAAGAAAAGCATAATTAAGAGTAGATGAGAAAATGGTATTGTTTCATGTAATTATTTGTTTACACACTGGACTCATCTCTAAAGCTTATATTTTACTGTAGGTCACAATCATAAACATTTGAAAATAATTAGAACATACACGTTGTTATAGTCTATAATCAATATGTTTTATCTTCTATATAGACTTTAAAGATCCCATAAATTATGATGTTCAGAGTGAAGAGAACGAACCAGTAGTAGTAGTATCAGAAGGTAAGTACACTGAGTTAGAAACAATCTTTGTAGTGTTACTAGCCATGCCTCTTCAAATTCAGTTTCAGAGAATGATGCCTCAATCAGAAAACATATAGTCTGACAACTGAAATAATTTTGGAAAAAAACTATTGTTTTTTCTTTTTGAGTCACAGCCAGTAATGCACAGGGGTTACTCCTGGCTCTGCACTCAGGTTCTCCCCCCAACTACACCTGTAGCTTTTTGGGTTTTGTCTGTCTCACCTCTTCTTGAAACCTGGCAGTGTTTGGGAGGCCGTATGGGATGCTGGAAATCGAACCCGAGTCTGCCGTGTTCAAGGCAAACACCCTACCCGCTGTGCTATCACTGCAGCCCATTTCTTTTACTATTTACTACCCCAAACTGTTTCTTTTACTGTTCCTTGTAAGCATTTTGCAGAGGGGGACTTTATTTTGCTTTATTTATTTATTTATTTATTTATTTATTTATTTATTTTCGTTTTGATAATATCCAGCTGTGCTCAGAATTTACTCCTGCCTCTGCACTCAGAATGACTACTGGTGGGGATTGAAGGACCAAATGGGGTACCAGGGTTCAAACCCTGGTTTTTTGGATGCTACATGCAAGACAAGCACCCTACCCACTGTACTATCTCTCCAGCCCTTAAAGAGGGATTTTTCATATGTAAATTTTAAAGAAAGCAATAAACTGTAACTGCTTTACTGTCAAACTCACCACAGGTTCTTCCCCAACTACACCTGTAGCTTTTTGGGTTTTGTCTATCTCACCTCTTCTTGAATCCTCTTAACAAAATTTCAAATAGCTGGCATGTTAAGTCAAGATGAATATTGCCCAATAGTTGGAAGCCTGTCTCATGAGCTGGGGGAGAAGGCAGCTGGAACAGAGAAGGGATCACTAAGACAATGATGTTTGGAGGAATTGTTCAGGATGGGAGATGTGTGCTGAAAGTAGATAAAGGACCAAACATGAAAACCTCTCAGTATCTGTATTGCAAACCATAATGCCTAAAAGTAGACAGAGAATATGGGGGAAAATTGTCTGCCATGAAGACAGGGAAGTATTTCTAATTCAAAGCCCTATCACCCATATTTTAAGGGTCTTTAGCTAACAGCCAGACATGGGCATGCACAATAACCCAGAAAGTAGGCTGGATCACAAAGTGACAAAAGCGGTAAGGTGACTGCAACTATAAGTACACAGTAGTTCTCCATCACCTCTGAAACAATCTCAAAGGCAGAAGCTGATCCAGTGAGTGGGAGCCCCAGATTTTTGTACTTGGAACTACAGTCCTAGACACCAAGCAGTACCAAGAATAGTGTGGAAAAAAAGGAATTCAGCTCCATTGGTCCTTCTCATAGGACAGAAGCAGGAACATCCTCATATAAATCAGTACTTTCTAAGCTGCATGAGGTGGACTTCAAAGCAGCAATTCTTGCCGTAATTAATGATATTCAGAAATAAGTGGATGAACGCATGGGAGCCTTGTGGACAGCAGGTTTGAGCCGGGGGCGTGGGGGCGACTAAAACCTCATGGGAAGGGGGGCGTTCCGGTCTGCCCTTCACGCCCTACCGAGGTAACCAGTTGCCCCCAACGAGCGGCTCTCCAGCACGGCCACGGCCCCAGAGGCACAAGGACTTAATGCAGAACCAAGCAGCTTGGAGCAGAAAAGTGAACGGACTATGCATTAATCCAGGTCATCATGTCTGCCCGGAGGGGAAAGGGTGTTGCTCCCTTCTGCCCTCCTCCCTCTGGAAAGAAAGATGGCGGCCGCATGGGAGCCTTGTGGACAGCAGGTATGAGCCGGGGGTGTGGGGGCAACTAAAACCTTATGGGAAGGGGGGTGTTCCGGTCCATCCTTCACGCCCTACCAAGGTCACCAGTTGCCCCCCATAAGCGGCTCTCCAGCACGGCCACGACTCCAGAGCACAGAAACCAATCTCTTAATTATCTGACTTTCAGTAGAAATACTTCCAGGGTTAATAAGTAAAATAGCGGAAATCTAAAACCAACATTTAATTCTTGAACCCAGCTGTAGAAAGCAAATCATTTCACAATGCTTTTTCAGCATGTCTCATGGTGGGGGGGGGGGGTAAACTCTAAATAATAGTGGTGCATCTTTTATTGAAACAATGAATCTAATCAAAGCAGATGGAGTGTTAACTAGAATTCATCTGCCTCGCAGGCACTGAGAAGGGTGGGGGGGTGGGGTTCTATTGGGGTTCTTGGTGGTAAAAAATAAGTATTGGTAAAGGGAAATGTGTTTGATATTTGCATGACTGAGACCTAAACCTGAAAGCTTTGTAACTTTTCCCACAGTGATTCAATAAATAAATAAATTATTTTAAAAAAAGGAAATAAGTGGATGAAGACATTAACACGTTCAAAGAAAGTTTGATGGAAAAATTCAGTCAAGCAGAGCTGAAGGAACTAAGGAGAACAGTAGCTGACAAAACTAAAGCAGTGCAGAAAAAGCCAAAGCTCACATCAGTGACATCAAGAACTAGTTAAATGGCATCATCAATAATAAGACGAAAAACTGTTTTAAAATAAACAGTTTAAGATGTTTCTGAGGTAATATCAAGAGGAACAACCTCTGAATCATAGGAGTTACAGGAAAAAAAGAAGGAAAGGGAAATAATTACTGGTGAAATAAATAGCTGGGAACTTCCCCAATCTGAGAATAAAGACATAAGAATAAAGACATGAACAGTGATCTTATAAGATCAAAGAGTTCTAATAAAAATAAATCTGCACAGAACAATAAGACACATTGTATTTAGAGAGCAAATCAGTCTCCTAAATGCAAGCAAGAGAGAAGAAACTCATAAGGCAAAGTCACATTGGATTTCTTGAGTTAAACTCTACAAGCAAGAAGGGAATAGCAAAATATTTACGTAGTACTAAATGGAAAAAAAACTAATGATCCTTTATCTTGCCAGGCTACTACTCAGATTTGACATTCATAAACAGACAACAGCCAAAGGCATTCACTACCTCCCAAACCAGCTCTACAAAATAAAATTAAATAATCATCAATGAAAAACAAGGAAACTGAAGTTGGAAGCAGAATAATATATTAAAGTCTTTAAATAGGGGAAAGATGGGGGAGGAGATAAGGAAACTCACAGATGGAACACCAGAATTAGTCATGGCAAACTTGGAAGGGGATGTAAGATCAGAAGATTGGCTGTAAATGCAAAAACAAGAGTAGAAGTAGCAAGAGGAGGCATTAGAGGCTGATTACCACATAAAAAGTAAATATCAAAACACAAGTGAAGAAAATAAGAAAGGGTCAAAGGAACAATGTCAAGCTGCAGAACACCCAAAATCTTCATAGAAAAAAACCCGGCAGTGGATTCTTTTATATCAATAATCTCTTTAGATGCCAATAGACTGAACTTCCCTATCAAAGGAACTGAGTGTCTGAATGTATTTGGAATCAAATTACTGCTGCCAACAAGAGATACTTTTGAATTTCCAAAACAAACCAATTCAGAGTGAAGGTTTGAAAAACAATAATACAGGGTAATAGTAAACTTTAAAAATGCAGGAATTGGCTATACTTTTATTGAACCAAATGGTGTTTAATCTAAAGAAAGTAATAAGAGATAGGGATGTACATTGCATACTGATTAGGGATCAAATAGGCTTAGCTATTATACATATTTATGCACCAGATGTAGGCGCAGCAAAGGTCTCAAAGCATCTACAAACAGAGCTAAGGAGACATATTGACAACAGAACACTTGAGATGGGAGATTTTATCACTACATTCTCTTATCATTGAATATCAACTAGACAGGAAATCAATGTTAATATTACTCCTAAATGAAGAATTGGAAGACCGAGTCCAGAATATATGATTTTGGCCCCTCCATGACCAAAAAGCAGAATACAAATTCTTCTCCAGTGTAGGCAGGGCATTCTCCAGATTAGACATGTGCTGAGACATAAGAGTGTTCAGTAAATTCAAGAAAATAGAAATCATTTAATGTTTCTTCTCAGATTACAAGGCCATGAAAATAGAAATCTAGTATAAAAAGAAACCAGGAAAATATCAATTAGAATATTGCTGTTGACCAACCAGTGAATCAAGAAGAAAAACAAAAATAAAGATTCCTTAAAACTAATGAGAATGAAGATACTATTTATCAGAATCTTTATGACACAGCAAAAACTATACTAAGAGGAAAGTTTGTTACAATACAGGCTTACATCAGGAAACAGGAAAAGACTCAGTAACCTTACTCCATAGCTTGAAAGACTAGGGGGAAAAAACACTAAATGGCAAAGCAGGTAGAAGGAAACAAATAATAAAAATAAATGAGAAAATCAGTGATACATTTTTACAAGACTATATGACCCAGCATTTTTGGAAAGACTTAAAATAATATTAATAATACCTAGCTAGACTCATCTGGAATAAACAATGGAAAAAATTAATAAGATCAAATATGAAAGGGGATGAATTATAAAAGATATTTCAAAAATACCTATCAGAAGTTACTCTCAATAACTTATACTCTAAGTTGAAGAAGTTAAAAGAAATGGATACAGTCCAATAAGATGGGAGGCATTGTATTCCCTGGCATTGAACTATCCTATAAAACTATAGTAATCAAAACAGTATTTATTGTAATCTAAGTATACTTTCAGACCAATGGAAGAGAATTTAGAACTCAGAAGTATGCCTTCAGATGAATGGGAAATCAATTTATGACAGAGGTGTTAGTGCATGAAATGAAGCAAGGAAAACCTTTCCAACAGACGATGGAGAAACTGGATAGCCACTTGCAGAGAGAGAGAAAGAGAGAGAGAGAGAGAGAGAGAGAGAGAGAGAGAGAGAGCGCGGTTGACCCCTGTATCCCACTATACACAAATTTTAGCTCCAAGTAAGTTAAAGATCTTTATATTAGAATAGAATCCATAAAATTCATTGATGAAAGCATTGGCAGAATTCTCATGATATTGACCTCAGAGGTATCTTCAGTAAATCAT